AGCTGCGAACTTGACCCGAACAGAGGCCAAGAGCGTGCTCGAGTGGGTTGGAGAGCGTCTGACATACTCGGTCAGAACCAAACGTCCGCCGACACAGAGCATCTTTGGAGACCAGGGTCCGTCGTCGGCCAAGAAGAGACGCCAACAAGACTTTATGCAAAGATTCGTGCATTCTCGGAAGAACAAGCCGTCTGAGATAGACACCAACATCGAGCCAGCTTCAAGCGAGGATGAGACTTTCGTTACGGCCATAGGTTAAGATGATAACGAACTCGTAGTTGCAACGATAACTACCTAATACGCCAAGGGTTGGCCACCATCATACAGCATCTAAGATACACCACAGGAAGGAGTTTGAAACAGGGTGGGCGCCGGGGAGTCCTTCATGCAGCGTTCAGTGTGTCCAGCCCCAAGGGAGATAAAGAGGGCTATACAGGGTTTTTGCAAGGCGCACTTATGGGAAAGGGGTGGTGGTTTAGTCAGTGAATCTGCGGTTGGGGTTCTTGCCAAACAGAGTCTCTCGGACGGCCGGCAGACCGGTCTCCTGGAGGAGGTTCAGACGCTCCTCGAATGTGTTGTTGATTTCAATCTTGCCCTTTCCACCGATGACGAAAACACCTCCAGCGCTACGTCGTTTGTTAGATCCGTGACACGTACTAGTGATTTTTGTGCCCGATTCTCGTTGGGATATTACGTACCTCTCTGCGGACAGGGGATCCGACTCGTCAAGCTTGGCCGCAGTGTCCTTGCCAACCTCCTTCTTGTACTCCTTGGTGGCCTCGTCGATGGCCTTCTTGACGGCATCAAAGTCGGCTTTCCGCGCGCGGACGACGACCTCGGGCTCGGAGAGGGCGTAGAGGCCCTCGAGAATCAGGTTCTTGAGGGTGGCCTGGTACTTGCCCTTGTCCTTGGTGGCGTTGGCGAGCTTCTTGCGGGCATCCTCAAAGATGTTGTCGAGGAGCTCCTGGCGGGCGCCGAGGACCTTGAGCCGTGTCTTGTTGGAGACGGTGGAGCGGGTGATTTGCTGGGACATTTGGGCCTGCTTGAACTTCTTCTCGTACTGGCCGTCGATGGAGTCCGTCTCCTGGCGGACGAGCTTGGACTTTTCGATTGCGAACTCTTCGTTGGCCTTAATTTCGATCTCGCGGGCCTTCTCCATTGCTTCTTGCTTTATGAAGGCCGTCATCTTGCGGAGCTCCTGACCGACCTGTTTGGTGCACGCCATGTCTGGTTAGCCGGGCTGCGTCTGTCTATCTCTATCTCCGTCCCTCCTCTCTCTCTCGTGTGTGCGTTCGTGTACATCGGGATATTCGGTTTAAATCCCTACGAGGTTTGCAATGTGAGGCGTGGACGGGGGGGGAGCTTACTTGGTCGTCCGTCAACGGTTGGTGAGACATGATGGGCGGTTTGGGAGGGGCGGCTGCGTGAGCGACTTTTGATGATTCAATTAGGTTTATCGGAGACGAAAAGGACGACGGGCGATGATGGGATCGCGTGAGATGTAGAGAGGAGCTGGTGGGGAGCCCGTCGGGAGGAGGTTTCGCGATGGGGGGAGGGGAGAGTCGGGATCGGATTGCGGTGGTTGAATGAAGCTGTTGTTTGACGAGGCCTACTACTGACTACCTTAGGTGCTCTGAGCCGCGTAGCAAGCGCATCACTGGGCGTTCGGCCCCCCCAGCTTCAGGAACCACATAGCAGGTATCCATCCGTCCCGTCAGCCACAGATTGCTTGCTTGCTTGCCCGGGTGGGTGCGATACGGGAACCGGCTCAGATTGCACCTGTGCCACACATGGTCTGTGCGACTGCCACTGGTGGCATTTGTCCACTTCTCCAGCCACGTTTCCTTCTCAGGCTGTGACATCACGGAGGCAGGCGAAGCCTATCAGTACCAAGGCCCACCAGACCTCACCTCCCGTCATGGAACCGGGCCATGGAATGGAACCTACCTACCTTAGGTGAAGGGAAAGGAGCGATAAGATAATCCGGTCACGTCAGGTGACGATTGCCCGAGGAACAGCCGCCTGACCCACCACAGTCATGCACCCAGCTGAGCTACCTCACCGCCTACCAAGCCAGCGCACGGCAAAGGTGCAAAGGGGCTAGACGCGGAGTACCTGAACTGAATAATGCAATGCAGGCGGCACCTGGAGAGGTGGAGGGCAGCGGGAGTCCCTTGCTGCTTGGTCGCTGCGGGCGAGGTACCTACCTTACCTTGAGATCACTGGGGTGTGTGATGTGGGTTGCTGCTGCTGCACTATTATGCTTGACCGTACCTTGTGGTTGGTGACTTGGTTGCTTGGTGCAGTCGGCATCTCCCCCTTCCTGGTTCCGTCCTGGCCAGACCACCCCGACCCTCTTCTACACCGATGGGAACAGAGAGCGGCCATTGCGTCGGTGCATAGCGAACGTACGTCTGTCTGGTGTTTCGAGCTGAGCCATCATCTAACACCAGAGACCTGTTCACCGACTCCGGCCATGTGGAAACTCGGTATTTTATAACGCTGCATTGATCAGGTTTACGCAACCAGCAATTTCTCGGAGAGGACAGCCGGCCTGGAAGACGGAGTGCCTACCATCTGACGTTCCAACTTTGTCGCTTCCATTTAGACGCGCATCCGAACTTGAAACCCATCCGCAAGCTCTCTCTTGGCGGCTATTGGAGGGAAGCGACACCAAAGTCACCATTTTCCCAAGCGTGGCGAGACACAACCCGTCGGACAACTTTACCTAACCACATCATCTCCAATCCTCAACGTCGAAGCAATTCGCAGACGCCTTGTCTGCACCGTTACCCATCCCGCCCCCTCCATCCTGCCGAAGCGTTCGATCCCCCTCCCCCCGTCCCGCCGCTGGAGTCGCTTTCATCTGGTCCTCATTGCGAAAAAGGAAGCTGCGCATCCTACAAACGTGCCGCTAGGATACCGGCGGGACGACACACACGGCTGCGCGGACACAGAAAACAACGGACGACGATAAATCGATGAGACCGACCGCCGCTGCTTCAACTTCGACCGCCGCCAGATGACCGACGGTTAGCTCCTTGCGCGTGCAATGGGGTCCCTCGGCGGCATCTCCCCTGGGGGGACAATCGCCGTACGCATCTGCCTCCCTTTTGCGCCTCTGTCGCTTCTTGAACGACCGAAAAGTTGTCGCTAACGTTGTACTTTCCCTCTCGCGCAGATAGGAATCATCGTAGGTCTCTTGTCCACGAGCGTCCAGAGCCTGGGTCTCACCCTCCAACGAAAATCACACATTCTCGAAGACGAAAAGGGCCCCCACGAAATACGTCGGCCACCGTATCGGAGGGGGAAATGGCAGCTCGGGATGGGAATGTTCATCGCCGCAAACCTGCTCGGTAGCTCCGTCCAGATCTCGACCCTTCCTCTCCCTGTACTCTCAACTCTGCAGGCCTCTGGCCTCGTCTTCAACTCGATATGCGCTACCCTTATACTTAACGAACCCTTCACGAGGTGGTCGCTGTGGGGCACTCTACTCGTCTGCACCGGCGCCGTGCTGATCGCCATCTTTGGCGCCATTCCCGCGCCTGCACACAACCTGCAGGAGCTGCTTGAGCTCCTCGGTCGGAAGCCCTTCGTGGTATGGATGATCATGCAGGCCTTCCTCGTCCTATCAATAGCCATCAGTGTAGACTGCCTTGACCACTTCACGAGCCTGTCACTCAACTCGAGATTCCGCTTCGTCCGCGGCCTCGCCTACGGAGCCATAAGTGGTATCCTCTCGGCGCATTCACTGTTGGTTGCCAAGTCGGCTGTTGAGCTGATCATTAAGACGATCGCGGACGGCAATAACCAATTTATTCACTGGCAGGCGTGGGTCCTCGTGCTGGCGCTGGTCACCCTAGCCTTGAGTCAACTATACTACCTACACCGTGGCCTGAAGCTCGTCTCGACCTCGGTCTTATATCCCATGGTATTCTGCATCTACAACATCATTGCGATCCTGGACGGTTTGATATACTTTAAGCAGACGGACCAAATTAACCCCTTACGAGCATGTCTCATTGCACTGGGGACAGTCATCCTACTTGCCGGCGTGCTGGCATTGTCATGGCGTCTCAGCGACGAACAGCACACGCCGGGCGTGGGCCAGTCATCCTTGGCACCAGGACTTGGCCTCGTGGAGGACACGGAAGATGAAGAAGAGTCCCTTCTGGGCGGCGACGATCTCTACAGCCTCCACGAAGAAGATGACCCATTACCAGCTACAACCTACTCAACGTTTAACGTGGCCAGTGGTGAGACAACGCCGCTGACACCGACACCGAAGCGGAAGAAGACGGGCAGGAGATGGCAAGAGCGCGCCGAGATTTGGGGCGAGCTCGAAGACCGCGACACGTCCAGCCCGCCCATCTCGCGCCGGCGCTCCAGCACTATGCCTGGCGAACTCACCGAGTCCACCTCTTTATTACCGCACCGCCGCGGCGTAAGTAGCGGTAGCGGCAACCCTCTCTTTTCGTCCTCAGAAGCGGGACCCAGCTCCGAGTCCCTTTCGTCACGCCGGCCCGGCCCCGGTAGGAGGCGACGTAAATCCACGGGATTTCCGGGCTTCACAGCCCGCCGCCGGCGCAAGAGTCAGAGCAGCAGTCAGCCCACATTACAAGAGGCGCTGGGCGGCATCTGGAAGCTCAAGTGGTGGCGACCTGACAGAGGAGACGACGGAGCGAGCAATCCGCCGGGTAGCAGCGGGAGCGGCAGTGTGTGGCCCGCCTTCCGAGACGAGCCTCCGCTGACGACGGGGCAAGGGGAAGGGGAGAGGGATATTGGTGGTAGTGGAGGCAATGACGGACGCGACGGGTCCCAGGATAGGGGGCGGGACCGGCGGCCGAATGATGACTCGCCTGTATGAGTATTGGAACACTTGTCACGTCATTATTCCCTTTTTAAACATCTTCTTTTTCTTCTAACAAGAAACCCCGTTACTTCTTTATGTGAGCATAATAGCGATTACTTAGACATGAGCCAATTTGCCAGCAGTATGAACTATATCTGATCCTTGAATGGTTGCTTGTATGTTGCAGTTCATGGGAGCACACGTTGTTTTGGCGTGTTTTAATCAGTGACCTCGCTCAGCACAGAGGAGTCATAGAGACAGAAACCTCGGATGGTCTAACTTGACTTTGATCAAAGCATGCTTTTGCAAGGTCACACTACAAGCGAACGTTTTGTCTTGTTGCTTTCTTGTCTTTTCCCCCCTTCTCTTTTTGATAATTTTCTTCTTTTTTGTCTGAGCACAGCCTGTTCAGAGTGTTCAGATTTCATCTCAAAGAATATAGAGAAAGGGTGTAGGACAAATAAAGACAGCTGTCACGTTTTAGGCGCACGGCCAGAGCAGGTGACGTTGAAAAACTTGACCTTTGTTCATTCTCTCTTTCCTCTCGGGCATGTAGACATGAGATCATTGTGGCAGTTGGGCCATGGGCGCCGTTGATGTCAACTTTACTTGCCTGGAGTCCAGAATTGACAAATGTGCTACAATGCGGTGTCCGCGATCAGGAAGGCAGGCCCGTCATCAGTCTTTTTTTCTTCTCTGATCTGGTCCGAATGGAGAGCATGGACTTGAATCCAACCCTCGTGTGGTCGAGGATGTAGCCGGGCAGCGGGCTCTCGATCATTCTGTCTGAACTTATGTCGGCTCATTCTCATCTACGTATTGACCGAGTCAGAGAGCCACTATATTTATCGCACTTGTTGACGGGAGAGCGACGGTGCGGGTAAACTTTCTTTCTTTCTAGCGGCATGTCGTATAGTACTCTTGGGCCATCTCATCCTGACTCGTAGATTTGCAAACGTCCTTGGGAGGAGGAATTCTCAACTTGTCTTTCGAGAGATGGCAGACACTTATCATCAGTAAATCATGTGCTGGAAGTTGAACCGAGGCGATTTGATAGAACCTCGTTGTGATTGACAATGCTCGAATTTTTTTTCGGAGGACTCCTTGTAAAGATAAGAGTAAAATAAAAGTAAAAATAAAAAGGTATCACCAGTACCTGGCGAGTGCTCAACAGACTACTTTACGTGGTCGGGATATCTGAAACTGGAACTTCTTTTGGTCTACCTCGTGTGGCAATCACCTCGGAAGCCCAGGCCATAGATTAAACTCCCTGCTTACCACTCCAGCGTCAAACAGGAAGGGTGGTCGACACGGCGTAGGAGAGAGATGCAAAATCCTCTATAGATACACACTGAGCACAGGTCACCTCTATTCGAGGCGACAAATCCACAGACATGATGCATCCCAAGTAAGCACCGCGCCCATTCTATCATTCATACGGATACAAAAATCTGGATACTCGGCCTCGCAGCAATAGACAATCAAAAGCATCACGACCAGTCGCACATTACCGAGATAGGCGTTGACAAGTGATGCGGCACTCCATGCTGGGTCAGAGTTGTAAACCGGTGTCGTTGAAGATGGTGGCCGTTACCCCCCTGCCCGCCGTTGATCCGGGTAGATGATCCAGCTCGTTTATCTCGTTCCATCTACATTGTGGGGGTCCCAGCGTGTCAGCGCATGAAGTCCGCCTCTCCTCTTCCTCCAGCCCATCACCCGTTCCATCCAAAAAGTACCACCAGTCTGTCAGTCAACCTCTTACCAGGTGATTAATCCCATTCAAACCAACTCTCCAAAAATCCAACCGGCCTCTTTCCTCTCCTCCTCCTCCTCCTCCTCCACACAAGCTCCGGCCCCCAATCATCTCTGGACAGAGTTCCGCTTGGCGTGTTTACAGTAAACATCCAAAGAGTTCTTCTATTTCAAGCTCCTCCCATCCCCCGTCTCCGTACGGCACCCTATCCGTTGGTCAGTCAATCTGGCACATGCCATCCGTGGTTCGCTGACGATCTTGTTTATTCAAATCCGTGGGGGCTGCAAACAAATAGATTGGGGCCTTGGCCTCTCTCATGTACAACGTCGTTCATGTCACAAATAGATCTGGCGCATAGTAGCGTTCTCACACTAGAATGAACTACCGAGATTGTTATATATGCACACACGCATCTCCCTCCGCCCTAGAATATGACCGCGGCATAGACCGCCTTCACTGCTATCAGGAGCCGAGCCTCCCCCTATTCTTACACACTCCACACCCTCCCATCGACTTCACTCGAGTCCACATGTGCAGTCACAGTCACCAGCCTTCGAACGAGAGGAGACGAAAGTTTGAAAAAACAGGTACTGCTTTCAGGGCAAGTTCCCCCCTTTTTAACAGAACAGAGATAATCAACACTAAAAATCTATATATGGTGTCCGCACAAACAAGAAAGAAGGGGGTTCGTCGGTAAGGAAGGCTTTGAGAGAGAGGTAAGAGAGATGTTGGCCGTCACACAAAAAAAGACCTTTCGCTTCGACTATCTCCGTCCGAAAATTCGTTTCCATGCGTTAAGATTCGTACACCACCCCGATGTCTCCTCGTAACAGAGAAAAAGACCGAGGGTCTTCTGCGGAACGCAGAGAAAAAAAAAAGGGGGGGGGGTCAAGTTATTGATTCTGCCTGTCCACTTTGTCTAAAGAAAATCGGAACAAGATTAAGACCAATCAATGGCCGCGGCGGGGATGAGGCGATTCAGTCTTTCCCCCGGTCCAGGAGAAGGGAGACCAGAAACAGTTGCTCGCTCCAGATTTACCACACGCAAAAGAGAAGAGGAGTTCCCGAGAAGGGCTGGCTTTCGAGCGAGAGAGAGACGACATGAGTGGACGCCAACTCGAGCCAGCGGCTTTTTTTGCCCTGAAGAACCAAAGCCGAACCGCTGGCTTAGAAACCGCGGTAACCGGCCTTCTCGTCAATGTGGCGGTAGCGTTCGCGCTCCTTGCGATCCTTGAGCAGCATGGCGATGGTGACAATGAGCATGGCGTCGATACCGACCATGCCGAAGACGGCAGTGAAGATGTTGTCGACGAAGATGTTGGCGAAACTCGTGATTGGGGTTGCGCAACCGCGCTGCAGGGCGGCGGCGGCGGGACTGGGGCACTGGGCATCGGTGACGAAGGCGGGCGAAGTGCTGTTGAAGTATCCGCAGCATTTGAACTGATGCCGAGTGTTAATCGTTGGTGACAATGTTGGAAGTTAGACGAAAGGTCACTTACAGCAGTCTGCATGAGCTCCTGAACACGAGGGTCCTGGACGTTCCACGTCTTGCCAAAGTCGTTCTTGGTGGTGAGAGTAAGAACCCAAAGGTAGACACCAAGAACTAGACTGAAGAGACCGCAGAAGGTGGTCAGGTAGCCCGAGATCTTGAGCCAGCCACGAGTCGGCGTGATCATGCCGGGGATGGTGGAGAGGAAGGTAACGAAGATGAAGACGGCATTGGCAATACCGGCTATAAGTCAAATCAGTCACGATGTCCGCTATATTTCCTTGCTCACTTTCGTAACGTAAGCGACATCCTTCCAGATCGTCCTCGTACCTGTCAGCGGAAATTGGGCCGTGAGCAAGCGCATAACAGCCTGGGCTCCTTCCGTAGGCGCCTCCTTGATGAGGTTCTGGTTGATGAGGGTGAAACCCAGAAGCAGGGCGCCGGTGATGACGAAGATAATGTCAGCGACCACGAAGGTCATGAGCACTTTGTTCGCCATGGCTGAAGCTTTTCGATAAAACCGAGCAGCCTAGAGACCCGAGAACCAAGATGTCGCTCGGAGAGACTTGGCTGCTCCTTGGTGCTGCAATTCCTCCTCTTTTCCTTCCGAAGAATCCTCCTCTTTTTTTGGAAATAGTTTTTAGATTTTGCGATTTAGAGATTGATGTTTGATTTTGACGTCCGGCGTCTCTTTTGTGTCTAGAATTTGGTAATCGGTAGGAAAACTCGGCGGGTATGCGTTCGTCGGTGTCGTCGGTATCGCTGGTGTCGGTGGGTAAGGACTGTCTTCGACCAGCAAAAATGTAACGGAACCTCCACCACCCAGCGGGGACGAGCACACGAGAAGGAAAGGGTTTGAAAAGAGAGAAGTCGACGAAGCCGTCGCGAAGAAGGGAATAAGGTCGGAGTGAACGATTGTACAGAAGAACGTGAAGATGGACCGAAAATCACCCTCCAGATGAAAAAACCCGACTACAGCACTGAGGAGTGGGAGGAGAGGAGAAGAGATGCCTCGTAGTGCAACAGAGACGAGGTCTGAGTCTCACTCTCCACTGGGTGCATGGGAGAATGGGACGTGGGCGGTGGAGCGGGAGAGCAGCCGGTCAGGGGGGTCCACAATACTGTCTCGGACGAGACCTGCGTAGGCAAGGGAGACCCCAGAGGAGAATCGCCAGATTCAATCAGTCAGGCGAGGGGGCGCTGTATCGAGACTCGAGACTACTCGAGAGAAAGCGATTACTTGGTTACGTATCCGTACATTAGTGTTACCTTAGGTACCTTATTGGCGGGCGGTCAGGGCCCCTCGTCCGTCTTGGAAGGCTCGAACAGCAGACGCGAGGATGAGAAACGCACCAGAAACACCTTGGGACCAGCCCACCGCTCGTCCACACTGTGCCTGGGAGGCCTGGTTGCCCCCGGTGAGCCAGCAAGAGGGAGCCGTGTGAAGAGATCGAGACAACAGCAGAGAAGGAACTGTGAAGGGGGGAGAAGAGGGCTGAGGGAGGTCGCGATGAATCCGACTCCCTGACGGACTGCGTTTCAGGATCGAGGGGCGTCCTCATGCAGGCGGCTGTGGCACGCACCAATCGAGGAGCCGTGCAGGCGCTGGTGTCCGGGATCGTGGCCAATCACAACACCAGAATCGTCCAAGAGTCGCCAGATTGGGGTGGTCGTCCGTTTGAGCCAATGACTTAGGGCTGCGCGTACTCTTCCTGGGAGGCTTGGTCACTTTTCGGTACCTGGCTTGGCCCTTGCTTGGCCCTTGCCAGAGAACTTGCAGGCCCAAAGGTTGGAACCTGGAATGGGAAGAGAAGTCACCACCCACCAGCCATACGCTGGAACGCTACATTACGTAGCATCTTCTTCCCTTACATCTTCACGTGGTGAAGCATGGCTCATGCCTGCGACACTCAGGTACCTTGCGGGAAAAAAACACCTTATTGTTACGCTTACTTCAGCGGCCCAACGGTCTGTCCTCCCAAGACCTCGAGACACTCAAGCCTCCTCGACTTACATCATCAAACAGGAGACGAATTCAGGAACACCCCCAAGGGCCCAAATGCTCACCAGGTGGACGCGGCAACGCGAGACATGTCACAACCTTCGATAGCGAATACCACTATAACACGCGTCGACGGCCTCTTGTGTCCACAATCTGTGCCGGCCAGCCCGACAACCTACAGAGTACGGATGCTGTCGTTACTAGTGATAATTATCTTTCGGAGTACACTACGGATAGATGCCCTGTTCAAAGGATAGGTCGGCCGGCTGAAAGCGTGCTGCTCAAGGTAAGCTCCGGGCACCGCGGAGCACTCTACCAATACAGAATCCTTTCCCTTCCCGTCCACTTCTAGACTTCAGGCCCGCCGCCCGAGGCTGTGAACCCTCCCTGCCCGTGAACCTCGATTTTGACGGGAGCCCCCCCCCTTTGTGGCACGATCCAGTGAGATTCCAGCCCGATGGTCTCGCCTTTGTCCATAGACTCAAGACTGTGGTGGTACGGTGGCACCACATTACCGCCCAATTTCCAACCTCTTGGCTCACCTGCCGAACCATGTCTGGCGCTTCAACGCTTCCCCACCAACGCTTTCCATGATAAGGTAATCCGGAGATGTGCGACTAAAAAAGACTGGTGGTCACTGGTGCTTGTGGACAGTTGTGGTTCCTCGGGAACGACGCCAGGGATCTTGGGCGCTAGCGACTCGGACCCTCCCTTGATTTTCTTTCCTCTGTCTTCCGTCAGAGTTTGATAACCATACCGATATTCGATGTCGAATTACCGTTGTCACATGGATTAAAATACTCAAAATTATGAGGCTCTGTCGCCTTGCGCATTTCTGTATCCGCACTCCGTACAGATACTGCATACGCATCCCTCGCATACCATCGTATACCCGCAATGCACCTCTGGTTTGCATGGAAGAACTCTCGGACTTTTCTTCTTCAGAATTCCCGCTGGTTTGGACGCCCAGACCTGTCAAGAGAGAACTCTCCAACCCTTTGAACGTGGGACAGTGCAGACCTCAGACAGTCTGGTCTTGTTGGCCTTTCGACAAAAAAGCCCGGGTTCTACTCACGGAGAAGGCGTGCTATCCGAGTGGAAAGCATTGCCGTGGGTGTTCGATGCCTGTCGTTTCGTGCATCCTGCGGTGCGATGCTGTTCCGTTCCGTTTTTGCGTCGTCTGGTATTTCATTTCGATTCATGGTGCAATCAACAGGAAACGTGCGCACGACGAGCCTGGAAACAGCATGCAGTTCCAATCCCATTGTCCGGCATTTCAGAGCCGGTACTTGCGTTCTGGATTGAATTACTTCTGATTCTCGAATTGTGGTCCTTGTTTGTTGATTGTTCCGGGCCGTTTCGATGTCACGGTTCGCTACCAGGCGATCATATTCCTGGCTGTTTTTGAGGCAGCATGGATAGATGAGACGCACGTCGTGCAGAAAGCTGAGAATGCCGATCTAATCAGCCAACACCTCGGATTACCACTGCGCCCTGCAATTGGAAAAATTCTATGCTCTTCAGCGGCGCAGCCCGGCACTTCACTATGTTGCGCTTAGATGATAAGCAAGCAATACGCAGAAGAAACCCAGTGGCAAAAGAGTTTAAGAGTCAACAACCACATGCGCACGTGCCACTTCCAGTCACACACCGACACCTAATGTTGCAAACATTGTCCAAAATACCCTCTATTCGATTTCCATCACCACAAAAAGCATCACTGTCAATTCAGCAAAAGGATTGGGCCCTAACCAGGATTCGAACCTGGGACCTCTCCCAGACGTGTCGTGAAGACCCTAAGGGAGAATCATACCGCTAGACCATCAGGGCAGATTGTATTCCAAGTGGATGTCCTTGGATGAAAGGAGGGGCGGGAATTGTCATCAAGTTGGTGAGTGAGGTGGGGGGCCGCGATATTTTCTCGACTAAGGGCATTTTCACACGAGACAGGGGTGTGATGAGGCGCAAGAAGCGGGAACAGATGGTGAGACATTCCAACGGCTTGGGGCGCTTCAACTACGGCTTGCATTGGATGTAGGATTCTTGTGTCATTCGTCTAGCTGGGGAACGAATATTGAATACTGAATATCAATTCCGTAATGCTCACATTGTCTCTGCCGTGCCAACACATCTTAACCGGCCAACTGGGTGACAGAACAAGTTGCCGGTCAACGTATAATTATTATCCTTCTTGTAACCACTACCTTTGTTATTCCTCAGAAGGCCTCTTAAAGTATAGTCTCTAGCGGAAATATTAGGAGGAAAACCTTAAGAGAATAAGAAAGATGACATGGAGGTAGTAGTAGTAGTAGTAGTAGTAGTAGTAGTAGTTGAAGCAAAGGTCAAGAATTCAAGCCGCAAACTATTGTATAACCCACTACACCGCCTAGCGCCTTTGCGTCTCTCGCCACGCATCTTACGGTACCGTCCTCAACTACAGCCTGCCATGCGGAAAGTAGGTCGTTGTAAGGCCAATCCACTCGAGCACGTATACACTGCTCAGAAGTCATATCTGAAGTCGGGGTTCTCCTTATCCGTCATATCAGCAAACGCATTCGAGTGCGCAATCTTCTCGTCGTTAGCTCCGGCAGCCCCGGCCTTGCCGACGTCCTGTTCAACCTCCTCGGCCGCCATGTTCGCCGGGTCCGCGGCAGCAGCGGCCTTGCGCTTGGCCATATTGCGGCGGACGAGAAGGAAGCGCAGAAGGACGAGGAAGAGGTTGAAGAGGACGTAGAGGCAGAAGTGAGCCGTGAAGCCCTTGCGGTAGCGGGGGGCGTCGGCGGCCTGGAAGATTTGGGGCGCCGTCATGTTACCCGCGGCCCAGCCGATGAAGGTCATGGCCAGCGTCGTCGACTTCTTGGTCTGGCCCGCGATGTTGCGCGAGATGAGGGAGAAGATGAGGTTGCCCTCGGCCAGGTAGAACTGGGTGCAGTAGAACGCGATGAGAAGACCAATGCGGTTGCTGGTGCTGGGTGGGATGCTGTAGATAATGGCTGTGCCGATGATGGCGGGACTTTGTTCTAGATGTTAGCATGTCGCGTCGTCTATCCTTCTAAACGGATGTTTACTAACATTGTGCATCCCTGAGGGCGAGAAAAGTTAGCCTTATCTTCGCAAAGCATGTTCATCCTCGCTTTCACTTACATGCATGACCCAAGCAGTCTGCCTCGACCAAGTAGCCAATGTCGCGCTGCCAACCATGACAATGATGGTGACGGCACCTTGTGCAATGTTTAAGAGCTGCGTCTGCAGGTACGTGAATCCGAACGAGGAGATGATGAGGTTGGAGAAGACGCCGAGGCCGCCAATGATGAGAGTGGAAGTGACCTGAAGCATGACGTAGCACCATACGACGGGGTCGGTGACGGTCTCGATCATTTGGTAGCGCTTGTACGTCTTGTTCTGGATGCCCGTCTCGTTGGCCCGCACACGCTCAATCATGAGGCGCTTCTGGTCCTCGTTGAAGCACTTGGCCGCCATGGGTGAGTCGGGCAGCCACCAGCCGATGAAGAGGCCCCAGGCGCAGGTTGCAACACCGAGGACGAGGAACAGGAGCTGCCATGACTTGATCTCGTGGCCGTTATAGTGGGAGGCTCCCCAAGCGATGACGCCACCGATCTACGTTGCTTGTGTTAATCGAGTATGTTCTAGGAGGCTTCAAGTCTTTGGAAGGAGGTAGACGTGCCATGAGTTGGACCCCGCTCATACAGTACCATAGGGAAGTCAGGATCGACTGTTCTCTTTTTGTGTACTAATTGCAAATTCTTTGTTAGCAAGACAGGGATAAATACTGGAGTTAGTGACAGGGTAACTACATACCCACATTGAAGTCCTGTGAGTTTCGTGTCAGCAGGAATCTCTACCATTCAAGGGGCTAGGGTTGACAGACATGATAATGAACGCTGGCTGAACACAAGACTCAAATACTCCGAGCAGAAACCTGACAATCATCAAGGCTGTGAAGTTCTTGGCGGCAGCCGAGCATGCAATCACAATGCCCCAACAGAAAACATTGGCGGCGAGATATTTCGCGACGGGTAGTTTCTGCAGAAGCAAATTGGTCGGGTACTCTCCGACAAGAACACCCATGTACAAAATGGTTCCGAGCCAGCTGATTAAGAACAAGTTAGCTGTTGCTCTTGAAATTCTTCCTTTCCCGTTTACGGGTAGAAGGTATCGATTTACCTGAACTGTTGGCCCACGAGGTTGGCATCTTGCTTGATGTTCATGATGGAGGCAAAGCCAAGGGTGCCTTTGTCGAGGGACTGGCAGAAGTATGTGCCCAGCATACAAGCCAGGATTCTTCTGTTGACTGTCCAGAAAAGTTCCTTGCTTGTCTTGTCGTCAACATAGATTGCTTGAGCATCGGCATATCCGTTGGCCTGTGGGGTGTATTAGCCGAATGCTATCTCCTATGAAAGATGCATGGTAATCAAGAGTCTGAATATCTTCTCCAACCCCTGCCTCACTCTCAACCCTCCCCTTCTACGGCTGAGTCATGGGTCTGCGATATCGAAAGAGTAAACTCACGGACTTGTCTCCCTCCTGGTGCTCGTAAGCCACATGAGAAGGTGCCGGCGCGATGGCATTGTCGCCAGTTTCCTTATCGTTATGCCCCTGCTTCATGCTGTACGGCGCTCTGGTTGCTGCAGTACAATGGAGTTGTTTTTCTTCAGACCTATTGTAGCTGAGGCTGCTTGATGTTGTCTCAAGGCTTACCCCGGATTTCCCTGGATCGTGAGCCTCTATATGCAACCAATATTGAAACTCTGGGGACCCCAGCTTTCACAAGCCCGGAACGACGGAGTCAGAGACGCTCCTAGAGGACAAAAACGTGGACTGATGGTGATCCGGGGTGAAGGCTGCGGGCGAAATGTCTTCTCGGGGCAGTCTCCGGGACCTCGCCCGCGCCCGGAGCTGGGGTTGGCGGGCGGATCGTCAGTCCAGAGACCGGGGGCGTTACTATGCATTATTGTAACGGCAGAAGGCTCTGGTTGAGGCCAGACGGATCAAGATACGGGGTTACGCTAAGCTCCCCGGCCTCCTCTTGTCATTTTGACTATCCGAGGTTGTCGAAATTACTTGCTTATCCGTCTTTTAAGGAGTCATCTTCCGTACCTCGCACCTGTGTTGACCTCTGGCCTATTGCTGTTACTACCATGAAGATCAATTGAGCAACTTTGGTCTGAATGAGGACAAATCGTGCCATGTAAAGTTAGAGTCAAGATCTAAGAATATGATGTCTCTTTCAAACCCTCAAATGCTCGTGGTCAAGTCGTTCATCCGGCCTCTACGGCCGTGGTATTACAGTCTCAAAGCGTTCAGACGAGGAAAAGTAACGGTTACAGCGACGATCACCAGGCTCACAAGTCAAGGATCCCCTCCATAGTGGCTTCTTTTAGCGGTCCAGTGGCATGCTATTGTGATGGATGCCCAGTTCTTCCCCGCATGCACCTTCTCCACGTTCAGGTCTTACCCCGACATGATCCCCAAAAGTGGCTTGCGACAGCGGCGCCTTCGCTTGGTTTGGATAGTGACAGGAGGTGGACAAATCAGTTAGATCGCTCCTGCCATGATCTGGAAAAGAACGTGAGGGAAGGAAATTCCCATCGTTGCATCCCCCAAATTTTCTCCTCATTCTTGACTCTTTTTCCTGCGGTCCCTGCGTGCGCGATGGTCTTCGAAGACGACGACGAGGCGCTGTCCGGTCGCTCAGGCGGCGAGGAAGATAACCAGCCCCGACCCAAG